TGCGGTACGGGGGCCTCTCACTGTTGTGGCCTCTCCCGTTGCGAAGCACAGGCTCCGGACGCGCAGGCCCAGCGGCCATGGCCCACAGGCCCAGCTGCTCCGCGGCATGTGGGATCTTCCCGGACCAGGGCACGAACCTGTGTCGCCTGCATCGGCAGGCGGACTCCCAACCACTGCGCCACCAGGGAAGCCCTGGAAGGAGGATTCTTAACCACTGGACCAGGGAAGTCCCTCTCTGTCCCACTTTTTAGAGGCGTTCCTGCTGGTCCATGAAGGACTCAGGGTGTGTGGCATCGCCGTGTACAACCCTGATGATTTCCCACGTCTGGTCACTGACCACCCACAGCTGTGCTATCATAGACCCAGATGTGCTATGTGACTCCTCTGAAGGGGTCCTGTCAAGAAAAGCAAGCCAAAACCCGGCCCTCCTCCAGCTGCAACTACCAACCTACGGAGCACAGAGAACAGAGGAATGTGCAAAACCCCACCGTGGGGGCACACGGTGGGCAAAATCCAGACTCTGGGAAAGTCTACAGGGCAAAGCCCAGCTTCTTCAAACAATAAATCACAAAGGAGAAAGAGAATGTGACAGGGGAAGGGATACTTTGCTATGTTGCATGGGTGTAGACATATGTCAAAACTCACTGTACACTTTAAATACGTGCAACTTAACTGTATGTCAAATTATACCACAAAAATGATACTTTAAAAAAAGGCACAGGTGTCATAACTGCATTTTTTTAAAAGAGCCTTGGGACTTCCCTGGTGGTCCAGTGGTTAAGACTCTGTGCTTCCAATGCAGAGGATGCAGGTTTGATCCCTGGTGGGGGAGAACTAATATCCCATATGCTGTGCAGCACGGCCAAAAAAAAATTTTTTTTAATATGTTTTTAAAAGAGGCCTTATCTTTTAGAGCTACACACTGAAATATGTACAGATGAATTGATAGCATGTCTGGGATTTTCTTCAAAATGACTTGGGAGGAGTGGGCAGGGTGATTAATGGGACAAGAGGGGCCAGGAACTGGTAAACTGCTGAGGCTAGAAATGGGCTCACAGGGGACCGCTGTGCTATTCTGTCTGCTTCTCTGTACATTTAAAATCTCCCGGGACTTCCCTGGTGGCACAGTGGATAGGGAGCCGCCTGCCAATGCAGGCAACACGGGTTTGATCCCTGGTCCAGGAAGATCCCACATGCCGCAGAGCAACTAAGCCTGTGCGCCACAACTACTGAGCCTCTAGAGCCCACAAGACACAACTACTGAAGCCCTCGTGCCTAGAGCCCACGCTCCGCAACAAGAGAAGCCACCGCGATGAGAAGCCCGTGCACCGCAATGAAGAGTGGCCCCCATTCACCACAACTAGAGAAAGCCCGTGTGCAGCAACGAAGACCCAACGCGGTCAAAAATAAATAAATTAAATCTTTAAAAAACAATTTTTAAAAATAATAAAAGACTACATCCTTTGTTATTAAAAAATAAAATAAAATAAAATCTCCCATAATAAAAGGCATGTTTAAAGCCGTGGTACTTTCCTTTTTTATATGCTTCCTCACCTGTAACAAAAGTCCTAATGTTAAAAGTAAATCAATCCAAACTTATGGAAAGTCTTTAAAATGAGGGTGTAAGATGTCAGGCTGGACAAACACTGAAGTCACAGGCTGGGCCGACAGCTAGGACCGTGACACGGCTGCAGTCCCTGCGATCCTGCTACGAGGACCACGCGGTCCGACCCTCACCAAGTACCGGAGCCGGAGCCCCGTCTGGGTTGGCTCCACAAGGTCAAGGCCAAAAGCCTCACAGCAGCCATCAGACTGGCTCGCGTGTGCAAGGCGGAGAGTTAATCCCACCCAGTGTGCAGGCGATTCACACATCGTATCTTCTTTGTTTTGCCCAGTGGAAACTAGGCACTGCTACGGAGTATCCACACGAGAGGGCGGTGAGGAGGCCAGGCCTGGATGGAGGGGCCTCTCCCGGGTGGGGGGGCCCTCTGGGGTCAGAGTGCGCAGGGCATCCTCGCTCCCCCTCAGTTCCCCCCCCACCTGACCCCCCCTCAGAAGCCTTGCTGCTGCACGACCGCCGGTCCGCGCCGGCTGGGGGGCCTCTGACCCCGAGGTGGGCCCCGCCCCCATCCGGCCACACCCCTGTGGAGGGGGCGGCGGCGCGGCGGCGGCGCGGCGGGAGCAGCAGCCTCTTTTCCAGCGCGTCTGTTGTGCCCTCAGAGAACGATCCATGAAGACAGTGCTTCAGGAAAGGGCTTTCCTTTTAAAAATCGGCTCTTTCTGGTCAGCTGCTTCGTTCTCTAACTCTAGAGAAAAACACGGAAAAATAAGCTTGTGCCGGACATCTTCGCTGGCCTCCTGGGCCCCTCCTCCAGCCCCGCAGCAAGCGCTCCCTCCCGGCCTCTTCAGGGGACACCAGCCAGGGCGCCCCACGGCTGCCAGGTCCGCACGAGGTGCCTGGCCCCCACAGGACCCCCCAGCTCTCTTCAAGGTGCCCACTCCGACCGCGCTGCCCCGAGCTCCCAGGACCCGGCTCCAAACGCAGTGTCCACCGCCACGTACAGGAAGACCTGCATTCAAGTCTTACAAACCCATCTTTACATTTTCTTAGAAAAGCAGACCCAGTCACTGAGGAATAAGTGGCTGGCTAAGGGCCCTGGGGGTTAATCTCCACACGGTCAACTCACTAGAGACGCAATTCGCGTTTACTTCCCTTTCTCAATAAAAAACGGGCAAGCAACCTATAGGTGTGATCTTCACAAGGAAAGAAAAGCTCACCAATAATGTGAAGATTCTAAAGCTACTTTTGTGGTTAAATATCAATTCTGAATTTAAATTGTTCAAAATAATATAAATTTTATTTAGTAATTTAAAAATACATTAGCAAGCATCAACCAGATAAAAGATAAAGAAAGAAACAGAGGACTTGAACAACACAATTAAACAACTAGATCTAACAGACGTATCCAGAACTGCACCCAACAACGGAACACACCTTCTCAAGTACACATGGGACGTTCTCCAGGACAGACCATATGTCAGGCCACAGATTACTTCTCAAGAGATTTTAAATGATATACAGAGCATCTTCTCTGACCGTAAG